TATTATACTATTATTATTATCATTATTATTATGTGTACGCTGTAATTCTTTGTAACTAGAGTATTAGTACAAATTCTTTAGTTGTATTTAGCCTACATTGTTGTTGTAAAGGATGTATTTCTCAATCCGGCTTTTCCTTCTTTGTATGTTCTCTTTAAGCAACACCTCTAATCTTTGGCACTTATATGACCTAATTGTGCTGCAAGGGCCGTAAAACTTTTCCTAAAATCAAACCTTCGGCTGTCGTATATATGACGTAATTGTATTTCAAGTGCTGTAAAACTCTTATTGATACTAAATATTCAACACTCATATAAAACCTAATTGTGTTGCAAGTGCCGTAAAACTTTTCCTAACACCTAACCTCTCCTCTCTCCTCCGTGTAACGACAGTGTGCAGCATACGCAGTAGGCAATGCCAGCTACCACAGCGGAGAGCTCTACCCTCGCCTACGACCCGCGCTCCCTCTGCTGCTCGAGCTGCTCCGAGACCCCATCACCAAGACCCGTGCCAACGCTGCAAGTGAGTTGGGGCTTGCTCGCTTCTCCTCTCTTACTCTTCTCATCTCTCACTCGCTGTTTTCTACCCCCTGGGGGGTGCCACTGACTGAAGTGTCTTTAGGCCATTCCCAAAGGGGGGACATTAACATGTCCTTATGCTCATTAGAATTGTAAATGGGCTGATTTATCATTGTCATGCTCATACTGTGCCGGAACAACATAGGGGGAACTGCTGCCTTTTCTTTCTTCTTCCTTACTATCGTCATTTTTTCCTCTTCTTCTTTTGTATGTTTGTCACTCTCTCGTGAACTGCTATTTCCGGGGTGCCTTGATAGTCGAAGCAGACTTTGTGCTGTTGAAGCTTGAGAGGTGAGCAGAGTAAGTCTGATTCCCAGTAAGGACTTCTCTGTTGACATCCACCCCTTGGCGCTCATATGACCTTATGCAGTTGCGAACGCTGTAAAAACTCTACTTAAAAAAACAAACAAAAATGACCCAGATGTTTTTTCTATATTCTTGTTTTACACCAGATAGGTATACATCATAATTGCTTCTCGGTGTAATTTTTTGTACGGTACTTGACGTACATCTTCCACGTGTAACGTTGTTCTGTGTTCGTCTTCCTGCACCAGGTGCGTGTGGGAACCTGGGAATGCATTCGGCCGTGCTGTGCCCTGACATCAGGAAGAACAAACTGATCGCTCAGTAAGTCGTTTGTTGTGCCACACTACAGCTCTTGTGGAGCTCAGTCATCTGATATGTGTATATATATATATATATATACACGTGTTGATGTGATATGATGTGTTGGTGAATGCTGTGAGCTCACTGATGTGATATGTGATGTGATATGATGTGTTGGTGAATGCTGGGAGCTCAGTGATCTG